AAGATTTTTTTTTAAGTTTTATTTTTCTTTTTAGTTACATTTTGTTAACTCTGTGTCCCAGTTGTATCCCTCTCCCTCATTTCCTCCCCAACCCCACACTCCCTCCCTGGTCTCCTCCCTGCCCCTTTCCAAGTCCACTGATAGGGGAGGACCTCCTCTCCTTTTATTTGACCCTTTTTTATCAGGTATCTTCAGGGCTGGCTGCAAAGTCCTCCTCTGTGGCCTAACAGGACTGCTCCTCCCCTGGGGGGGGGGTCAAAGAGCCTGCCCTTGAGATCCTGTTAGAAATAGTCTTTGTTCCCCTTACTTTGGAAAACTACTTGGTTACTGAGCTACCGCGGGCCACATCCGAGCAGAAGTTCTAGGTTATATCCATAGATGGTCCCTGGTTGAGTGTCAGTCTCAGAAAAGACCCTGTGCCCGGATATATTTGGTCTTTGTAGAGCTCCTATCCTTTCCATATCATACTAACTCCCCTTCTTTTATATGATTCCCTGCACTCTGCCGAGGGTTTGGTTATGAGTCTTAGTGTCTGCTTTGAACGTATGACAGGAGTCTACCGCAAAAGGCATCTGAAAGACTCTACCTAGCAGTGTTTCAAAGACAACTAAGATTTTATACTAAAGAATTTTTATTCTCATTTTGGATATCTAGCAGCAACGTGATGAGTAGAAACATAACAGCATTTGGTAAATGATATTAAATCTGAAACATTAAGTACTTGGCACAGCTTGATCCAAACTGCCAAATGAATCTGTATCAGCATCATTACATTTTGATGAGAGGATAATTTCTGTTAGCTGAGCAAACCTTGATGTCTTAAGCTGTAAAAATACTTACAAGCTCAGCCTTACATGCAGTTGTGAAAGACAGCCTCCACTTATGAGGCTCCAGAAACCAGTTACTGCTCATTGTCTAGCATCTCTCACTGCATTAGAATATTGGGACAGAAAGAAGTTTCCAAATTTCCTTTATGCTGTTTTCGTTCTTTAAGCTTTATTGAGGGAGAGAGAGGCATGGAGTCAGAAAACTTTAGAGAAGCTAAATGACATTGAGCCAGCCAGCCAGAGGTCTAGCCATGGAAGCCAGAGAGTTCCTGGACTGTTAGAGGTATAAAAAAAGGTGCTGCAGTATAAGAATTTTACCTTTGTTTCTATTGTTACTATTATTACTAATTTTATTTTTTATTTAAAAGTCTGGTGTTAAGACATTCTTTTTTTTACTTTTATTGTATTAATTACAGTTTATTCACTTTGTATCCCAGCTGTAGCCCCCTCCTCCATCCATTCCCAATCCCAGCCTCCCTCCCTCTTCTTTTCCTATGCCCCTCCCCCAGTCCAATGATAGGGGAGATCTTCCTCCCATTCCATCTGACCATAGTCTATCAGGTCTCATCAGGACCGGCTTCTTTGTCTTCCTCTGTGTCCTGGCAAGGCTGCTCCCCACTCACGTGGAGGTGATGCAAGAGTCAGCCCATGAGTTCATGTCAGAGACTGTCCTTGTTCCTATTAGTGGGAACCCTCTTGGATACTGAGTTGCCTTGGGTTACTTCTGTGAAGGGGTTCTAAGTTATCTCCATGAATTGTTCTTGTTTGCAGTATCAGTCTCAGAAAAGACACCTGTGCCCATATTTTTTTTGGTTCTGTTGCTCCCTTTGTGGAGCTCCTGTTCCCTCCAGGTCTTTCTGTCTCTCCCTTCTTTCATAAGATTCCCTGCACTCTGCCCAAAGTTTGGCTATGAGTCTCAGCATATCTTTCACCCTCCTGGGAAAAAAAGGCCTTTCAGAGACAGGCTCCTGTCTTGTTCCTTGTTTTCTTCTTCTGATGTCCATCTCAGTTGCCTTTATGAATGAAGATTGAGCATCTTACCCATGGTCCTCCTTCTTGATTAGCTTCTTTAGGTGTACAGATTTTAGCATGATTATCCTATATTATATGTATAATATCCACTTATAAGGGAGTATATACCATGTGTGTCTTTCTGCTTCTAGGATACCTCACTCAGGATGACCTTTTCTAGATCCTACCATTTGCCTGCAAATATGATGTTTTCTTTGTTTTTAATTGCTGAGGAGTATTCCAATGTAAATGTACCACAATTTCTGTATCCATTCCTCAACTGAGGGGCATCTAGGTTGTTTCCAGCTTCTGGCTATTACAAATAAAGCTGCTATGAACATGGTTGATCAAATGTCCTTGTTGTATACTTGAGCATCTTTTGGATATATGCCTAGGAGTGGTACAGCTGGGTCTTGGGTAGCACTATTCCTATTTGTCTGAGAAAGCGCCAGATTGATTTCTAATGACCTAGACTAGAAGAGGCCCAGACACTCACTGTCTCACGAACATAAGAAATTTACATGTTCATTTGCTTCTTTGTAATTTCACTGGTAGAATCCATGGTTTGCCCCTTTTACTGCTAGATCTCCCAAATCTGGTATTTAGACTGAAGCCAGCATCCTCTCAGGGACTTGAGAAAACAGTCCCTACCCACTAAAAGGAAGCATTTCTCTTTATCTTTGGCAAAAGAGACCTCTGGTTTGTTTATTAACATATGTCTGTGGTGCCTCCTATTACTTTAAAAAAACCTGGAAATCCCACCCTTCTTTCCCCAAGAAAGAGGCTGTTTAGAATAAACTTTTCTTTTTTTTTTTTAACCCATGAAGCAACTATTTTTGTTTCTTTACTGCACCATTTCATTCAGCATGTTCTATGGATCTACCTATACAAGCATTTTGTTAAAACATTAATTTTAAAGGCAATATTTTAATATAAATAATGTTTATGTAGATCTTAATCTATCTGAGTATATGAATGTTTAAGTTGAGCTGACTGTAGGAGTTCAACTGGGTATAAAGCCGCTATCTAAAAAGCTCTGGCTTTTTAGCAATTAACACTGTGGAATTTGCTGGAATTGTTCTAGAAGATCGTAATGGACTCCGCTTGAGAGGCTTAGTATCTATAAGAGCTTTGTACCAAATGTCATAAGCTGACACAGTAGTCTGACTTTGGTAATCATTTGAAGGCAAATCAAGTTTAGTAAGTCATAGCTCCCTAATTAACTAGGGCATGGAGTCTCATCAACGCCCAAGGATATATTTTTGACAACTGAAGTGCTTTGTTAACCAATTATTTATCATAAATTTCTAAGATTTAGAACATGTCTGAAGATGGCCTTCAAACTGGTCTTACTTTTCTTTATTTTGTGCTGCAGACTAGGCAGGTTGAAGAATCTATTGCATACCAGTGATAAATTATTTGCAGGAAGATGTATGGAAAAATCTTTTAAAAATTTGATTCTATAGAAATGAAATCGAACACACTTCTAAGCAAGGTATTTCGAAGTTATTTTCTTGAAGACTAAGCTTTGTGAGAGTACAACACAACCAAAGGATTTCTATTTATCTCTAGAGTTATTTTATTATGGTTATCAGTTGCAAAATATTAAATTCATGTTGGTCTATGAAAAAATCATTTCTAAAAGTCTACTTGATCATGCATTTCAGTTCGGCGTGACTATGTAACACATACAAAATATTAATATATATTTGTATATATCTTGGTTTTAATTATTAATAGTGTCTGAAGTGCCCCTGTGGTATAAAAATTTGGTCCCTAGCTGCTGAGAGACAGTGAAGCGTTTAGGAGGTGGGGACTTATAGAGATCTCAGGTCATAGGGATTATATACTTGAAGGGGAAATTAGGCTCCTGGTCTCCTTGTGTCAATCTCTGGCCATAGTGTTACATCACATCCACAAAGTGGTGCTTCATAATAGGCCCAGGTGAGAGGTGGGTTCAGCTCTCACACACGGCCCAGATCTCTCGCTTCCACATTATTGGTGCCAGCTCTTCCACACCTGTGACCATGGCCAGTTTAGCTTTAGCTGACCCTAGTAGCTTAGGTGTGGGAGAGCTAGCCCTACTTTCCATGGCATGGTAGGAGATTTGGCCCCAGTGGCATGGGCACAAGAGAACTTTTGGGATGACCACCTCATCTACTGCCCAGGCCCAGATCCAGGGCTTTGAGCTGGCCCACCCCAACACCTGCAAGAGGCCAGTCCTGCTGAGCCAAAGCTGCAGGATCTCCATTTTGTGGTGGTGGTGGGGTCATCACAACATGAGGAACAAGGGACACAGCATTAGGAAGGTTGAGAAGCACTGATGTAAGAGTACACACTTGACTTCTAGGATTATAAAAAAGGACACAAATCCGGGCAAGGAGAAAAGTGGAAGTGGATCTAGGCGTGATTAAGGTGAGGCCAAATATGTTCAAAACACATTGTGTTAAATTCTCAACTAGCTGAAGAGAATAATAACAACAAATGCAAACAATAAGAAAACCTTTGCTTTAGTAGTCAGCTGGGGCTAGCTAAACTCCTGCTATAAGAAGAGACCAGCATCGACAGGTTGAAATCTTCTTGGAAGTATTTCTTTAGGATCAGTACTCAGAAGCTAAGGTCCAGTGGGGAATGATGGCAGATAATGTGTAAGTATCTCTTACGTTGTACTGATTTTGAAGTCCTGAAGGGGTCATGCGGATCAGCTGAGTCTTGGAACTGTGTAGCAGAATCAGAATCCCCGGAAAGAGGGGAGGCCACTGGTGAAGGCACAGCCTCAGTTGCAGCGGAGACTCTGCTATTAAGGTCGCAGTCCACCATGTCCAGATGGCTTTCCACACTGGGTACCAAATGGAGGACTACCTTTCTCAGCGGAGCTTCCTCTTCTCTGCCTTATTTAGAAAGCATTTCCAGGCACAGATGCCTTACCTTGCTTGCAGGATGACCCTGCACAGAGCCTCCTGTCCTGACTCAGCACATGAATCCTGCTCCTTCCCTCTGCCTGCATGATAACTAGGTATTATGTTATATCCAACCAGTCCTTCCCTAAACCCCTTGTATACCTTACTCCTGAAACAATAAAATGAGCTGCCTCTCTGAAGTTGCCACTATATTTGTCCTCATGGGCTGGTGACCTCTGGGGGATGGGAAGAGCACAGATGACACTTGAACAAGGGACATGAACCCTGGACCCTCAGATTAAAAGTCTGATGCTCTACCAACTGAGCTATCCAGGCTTAGCTGTGCATACAAGCTGTCAAAAGATATGGAGGTTAGCAGTGAGATATTTAGCAAAGCTTTGATAGCCTTCACTCATCACTCCTGTACACCAGCATTTATGCCAAGGGTCCTCAATAAATATTCAGAAAAAAGTCAATATCATTGTCTGCTAGGTGGGTAGATCTCCCCCTATTATCATGGCCTCTTATGAAGCCCTGTTATAACCTGCAGGAGTAGTAGAGACATCCCCCCATAATTGTCAACATCCTTAAGGGGTGATGGGTCTGTTTATAAGAAAGGAAAGCAAAGGAAGTCATCTGGGGCATGGCTGGAATTTGGGTAAATTGCGATCTTTATGTGTTTTTGACAACCCACTAGTGAGCCATCTGTTCTGTCCTGATTATCCGATCCTTCCCCTGATATGTTTCTCTGACATAAAACCGCCAGAGCATAGTGTTGGGGGCAGGGCAGGTTGGCTAGCCAAGGCATCAGTATTAAAGCATGATTAAACCGGCCTTTAGAATGGCAGAGAAGGAGGGTTGGCGGGGACAGCTATGTCCGGCTATGTCAAAGAGGGAATGGATGTCTGTCCAGGTGACCCGGTTGCACATCCTCGGGTGTCTTCGCCACTTTCTTTTAGCCTTCTCCATGATCGCCAGGTGTGCCATCTTTTTGACCTAAGGGGTCTTGTTCGACACTGTGGGCTGGAACCCAGACTGGGCCAGGCTGACCCTGTGGAAAGATACAAAGAAATTCCCTCCCTGCCGTTAATACGGGGTCAGTCCTCCTCGAACACCCATCAAGTGGGTCCTTCCACCTCACCAGGATTGGTGGCACATGAAGTGGCTGACTTCCGTGACTGACAACGGGAGGTTTGTCCTCGGCGGCATAGAATGTCTATGTGTATTCTACCTTTTCAAAGACGACATCTGCAAATACTTCCCTGTTTGGGAATTGATACTGATGACTCTTTTTTCCCCCTTTTTAAATTATTATCATTTATTACAATTTATTCAGTCTCTCAGTCTGAGTCCTCCACGAGGTCTCCTTGCTCTTGAGATTCCTATTTAATCGGCACGAATTGCTTACCGTTGTCAGCTAACTGTTCCTAGCTTCCAGGTTCTGGGGTTCCAGGCTGGGCCAGCGTGTGCATCGCTTCACTTCATGTTCTGTGTTCTTTGATCCATAAATGACACCATGTATTCACAATTGCACCAGCACTCAGTATGGCTTTAATGATGTAAATAATATTCTTGGAATTACTGAGCTTTTTTTTTTTATTATTATTATTACCTCATCCTTGTTTTTCCAGAACGAGATGTAATGAGACATGTGTGCTTTGTAGTTTTTCTCAGACTAGTTTCCTTTCAGTCATCAATGTGCGTTCTACTCAGTGTCTTCACAGTTTGGCAGTCTGTTCGCGTTATTGCTCAGTCCCGTTTACAGTGCTGGTGATGAAGCCAGCTGTTACCTCACTTCCTGAAGGTTGTCTCGATCCCTTCTACTTTTTTGTCAGCTGTGAAAATTTTGATAGAGCACAATCGTTGCAAACAAGTTTTCAAAATGAACTGGTAAACATGCAGAAGTACAATGCATAGATCTTGGAGAAAGGCTGTGATCAAGCAGAGTACACTCTGCCAAACCGTCTTCAGAAGTCTCCATCCCTTGTGTCCATACCAGCAGCAGGACATTTGTTTGTTTGCTTTTGAGACTGGATAGAACTATGGGATTCTCTCTGAATTCTGCCAGAAGTTGGAATTCTAGAGACCACTAGGTCTCTAGGATCCACACTTTTTAACAGTTGTGCAATGCTATCTCCTTGTTTAAATTTGACACTTTACTGAATAACAGTTACATTGAGTGAATTTTAATATGTACATTTATTTAGCTGTCTGTATGTATAGTATCCTCTGTAAAGTGTCCCCCAGATCCCAGACCCATTTTAATTTAGATTGCTTAGTTGTTCTAGCATTTTCCAGACTCATTTTAAGGGTTTACAACCAGTCTATTATCACCCAGGGGTATTAATTTTTTTTTTTTTTTTTTTTTTTTACTAAGTTTTACTTAAATTCTAAATTTTAAGTGGTATCTTTTGGAAGGCAAAATTTTTAATTTTAAAAGAAAAATAATTCTATAATAGTTCATTTCAACTTTTGGAGTTATATGTGAGACTTCATAAAATTCAAACTCACTGTGTTTCATCCTGTGTTTTCCTGTAGTGATGCTCCGACTGCCTTTTCTATACCGGTATGTACCCTGCTGTGAGTTTTTGTCTGGCATGTATTGTTTCTTTCTAGGTCAGGGGTTTTGTCATTTGCATCTTTGTCATGTGGACATTACATATATATTTTTTTAATTTTATTTTTCTTTTTAGTTACATTTTGTTAACTCTGTGTCCCAGTTGTATCCCTCTCCCTCATTTCCTCCCCAACCCCACACTCCCTCCCTGGTCTCCTCCCTGCCCCTTTCCAAGTCCACTGATAGGGGAGGATCTCCTCCCCTTTCATCTGACCCTGTTTTATCAGGTATCTTCAGAGCTGGCTGCAAAGTCCTCCTCTGTGGCCTAACAGGACTGCTCCTTCCCTGGGGGGGGGGGGTCAAAGAGCCTGCCCTTGAGATCCTGTTAGAAATAGTCCTTGTTCCCCTTACTTTGGAAAACTACTTGATTACTGAGCTACCACGGGCCACATCCGAGCAAAAGTTCTAGGTTATATCCATAGATGGTCCCTGGTTGAGTGTCAGTCTCAGAAAAGACCCTGTGCCCGGATATATTTGGTCCTTGTAGAGCTCCTATCCTTTCCATATCATACTAACTCCCCTTCTTTCATATGATTCCCTGCACTCTGCCGAGGGTTTGGTTATGAGTCTTAGTGTCTGCTTTGAAACGCTGCTAGGTAGAGTCTTTCAGATGCCTTTTGTGGTAGACTCCTGTCATACGTTCAATGCACATCCCATTTGTCTTTCTAAATGAGGATTGATCATCTTTGCCTGTGTCCACTTTCTTGATTATCTTCTTTAGGTGTGTAGATTTCATTATGTTTATCATATCTTGTAGGTCTATATAAGCGAGTATATACCATGTTTGTCTTTCTCCTTCTGGGATACTTCACTCAGAATGATCTTTTCTAGATCCCACCACTTGCCTGCAAATTTCATGATTTCCTCCTTTTTGAATGCTGAGTAGTATTCCATTGTGTAAAAATACCACAATTTCTGTATCCATTCCTCCGTTGATGGACATTTGGGTTGTTTCCAAGTTCTGGCTATTACAAATAAAGCTGCTATGAACATGGTTGAACGAATGTTCTTGTTGTGTACTTGAGCAAATTTTGGGTATATACCTAGGAGTGGTATAGGTCTTGAGGTAGCACTATTCCTAGTTGTCTGAGAAAGCGCCAGATTGACTTCCAAAGTGGTTGTACCAATCTACATTCCCACCAGCAATGGAAGAGGGTTCCATTTTCTCCACAACCTCTCCAGCATGTGCTATCACTTGAGTTTTTCATCTTGGCCATTCTGATAGGTGTAAGGTGAAATCTCAGGGTTGTTTTGATTTGCATTTCCCTAATGGCTAATGACGTTGAACATTTCTTTAAGTGTTTCTCTGCCGTTCGATATTCCTCTATCGAGAATTCTCTATCTAGCTCTGTTCCCCATTTTTTAATTGGATTACTTGGTTTGTTGCTTTTCTGCTTCTTTAGTTCTTTATATATACTGGATATTAGCCCTCTGTCAGATAAAGGGTTGGTGAAGATTCTTTCCCACTATTAAGGTATTAGGATCAATGTATGATTTAAGCTTTAATATTGTTTGGATTTCCTCAATGTCTGTAGTTATGTCCCCATTTTCCTTTCTGATTTTGCTGATTTGGATAGTTTTTCTCTGCTTTTTAGTTAGTTTGGCTAAGGGTTTGTCTATCTTGTTGATTTTCTCAAAGAACCAGCTTTTTGTTTCATTGATTCTTTGGATAGTTTTATTTGTTTCTAATTGATTGATTTCAGCCCTTAGTTTGATTATTTCCAGCCATCTGCTTCTCTTGAGTGTATCTGCTTCTTTTTTTCCCTAGGCTTTTCAGTTGGGCCATTAAGTTGTTTGTATGTGATGTTACAGATTTCTTCTTGTAGGCACTTAGTGCTATAAATTTTCCTCTAAGCACTGCTTTCAATGTATCCCATACATTTGGGTATGTTGTGCCTTCATTTTCATTGAATTCTAGAAAGTCTTTAATTTCTTTCTTTATTTCTTCCTTAACCCAACTGTCATTGAGTAGTAAGTTGTTCAGTTTCCATGTGTCTGTCGGCTTTTTGTTGTTTCTGTTGTTGTTGATGTCCAGCTTTAGTCCATGGTGGTCAGATAGTATACAAGAAATTATTTCAATCCTTTTGTATCTGTTGAGACTTGCTTTGTGACCCACTATATGGTCTGTTTTGGAGAAGGTTCCATGCAGTGCTGAAAAGAATGTGTACTCTTTTGAGTTTGGGTGAAAAGATCTGTAGATGTCTATTAGGTCCATTTGATTTAGGGATTCTGTGAGTGCTTTTATTTCCCTATTTGGTGTCTGTCTAGTTGATCTGTCCCTTGGTGAGAGTGGAGTGTTGAAGTCTCCCACTATTAGGGTATTAGGATCAATGTATGATTTAAGCTTTAATAATGTTTCATTTACGAATGTCAGTGCTCTTGTATTTGGGGCATAGATATTCAAGATTGTGATGTCCTCTTGGTGGATTTTTCCTTTGATGAGAATATAGTGGCCCTCCTTATCTTTTTTGATTAACTTTGGATGAAAGTCTATATTATTAAATGGTAGGATGGCTACTCCAGCTTGTTTTCTGTAACCATTTGCTTGAAAAACATTTTTCCAGCCCTTTACTCTGAGGTAGTGTTTAATCTTTGTTGCATAGGTGTGTTTCTTGGATGCAACAGAATGTTGGATCCTGTTTCCGTAACCATTCTGTTAGCCTGTTTCTTTTTATTGGTGAGTTGAGTCCATTGATATTGATAGATAATAGTGACCAAT